AAAAAAAGACAGACAAAAATCAATTAAAAGAAAAAATATCTTTAGTAATAAATTTTGTCGATGATTTATTTAAAAAAGATGATAAAAAACGTAAAAGAAAAAATGAGGAGGAAAAAAAGAAAAACGTAGAAAAACTCTCAAAGATCTTGACTATACACATGCTCAAATTCCAAAAGTACGCCCCTTTTACTTATCGGGCGCAACTGAAAAATTTGATGCAAACATATGCGTAGCAGCAATAATAAAAGTCTATAAAGAGATTGTTTAATCGACCGATGAAGAAATCAATCAACTATATAATTTATTAGTAAATAATTATTATTATAAATATCAGAACCCAACTTATTTCACCAAATATAATCCAAAAATCGAACATGATAATGATTTTTTTATAAATAGCAATACGATCACTAAACAACACTTTCTAGACATAGTTTTCAAAATACTAATCAAAAAAGAGGAAAATCCAAAACTAGAACAAAAAATCGGAAATATTTTTGAAAACATTGAAATATAATGGATAATAAAGAGGAAAAAGACAAAACACCTTTAGTCGATAATATCAAAAACATAATCGAAGAAAATAAAAAACAAATCAAAAAACTGGAAAAAGATAATAAAGAACTCAATGAAGAAAATGATGAACTCAAAGGACAAATCAAAAGACTTTTAGAAGAAACCAAGAAATTACAATCAAATAATTTCTTAAAAAATATCTTGTTTGATTTATTAAAACATGTAACTTACACGATAATAACAATTTTATTTTTTATTTTTATATCTAATTATTATTTTGAAATAAATCTTCAATGTATAATTATTTAGTTTTTTTTTAATTATTCAAATTAAATAAATATTTGACAATTTTCTATCTATTAAAGATAAACTCGTATATAACAATGTTTCCTTTTATATCTATCAGATTATATAATTGCATTATCTAACAGTTATAAATATTTAATTTTTCTGTTGGTTTATTTTTAGCAATCATCGTCTTTATTATGAGGTATCGTCTTTTTGTGTTTTTTTTTGTTACGTATTATCAATTTTTTTTTTTAAAAAAATTAAAATAATTGCAGTAATTGGGGACCACCTCCTAAAAAAATAATTCATAATTACTATCATGACCCGTTTAAAAATATTAAACTGTTTTGTGAAGCCTGTTGTTCAACCGAACATTTTTATAAAGACTGTAAATTTAAAGCAAAATACTGTCTCGCTTGCTACTCAAATGAATATTTTTTTAAAGATTGTTTATATAGCAAATGTTCTTGGTGCGATAAAAAACATGTTGGACCATGTAAAAAAATGAAATATTGTTTTATTTGTAAAAAAAATAATCACGAACTTGAACATTGTTTTTTTAAATATAATAAATAAACCTGTTTTTTTATAATATTTGTTTACGTAATTTGATAATCTATAAATCTGTTGTTTGTTTTTTGGTTGTTTTTGTTTTCTATCTTCTCACGTCTTAGTTTTTTAAAAAGTTAGTGTTTTCTGTTTTTTTTTATTACTAGTATCTAGATGATTAGTATACTAGTTAAAGTTAAGAACTTTTGTGTTCTCTCGTCTAAGTAACTGGGGCTTAGTCTATTGAACACACAGATAGTAGCTTTGAGAGCGACTGGCTCATTACTATTCGCCTTAAATGTGCACACTCGGTTTTTAAGTTCTTAACGATGATAGAGTTTAATTTTTTGTTTTTTTTTTTTTGTTTGCAAACGAATTTAATAGCTATTATTTTTTTTTATGTTAGAAATGGAAACTACCATAGAACAAAATATTGACACGGTTATCTTTTCGCTTCTTGAAATAAAGAAAAAAATAAAAGACGAACCAAAAGAATCTCCATGTCATGATTGTGAAAAACTAAAAAAAAATTGTAGAAGTGCTTTTAAAAAATATAACAAAGGCTTATCACTTGTCGAAAATATTGTTAAGCTTCAAAAAGCAGTCGAAGAAACAAATAGTGAATATTTTAAATTAAACAAAAAATATATTGCTCTAAAAGAGAAATATGAGCCAGACAACGATTATTTTTTTAAAAAATTGTTTTTTTGTGTTTTTTTTTTATAAAATAAAATTTTTTTTATAAAATTTTATATTTTTTTGATTGTTAAGTTATAATTTATTAATAAAAATAAATTAAATTTAAGCAATTTCAATATTACAACTGTGTAAATC